TCTGAACAAGTTCCTTCTTTTACATCGATAATATGATCAGAAGAAGAACAATAGTTTGCCGAGCAATAATACGTATCTAGATTAAAACTTTTATTGTAAAAATTTCTACTAGCTAACATAACAAAGGTCACATTAGTTAAATTCACAATGGTAATTGTGCAAGGCTCCAAACAGAGTGACTTAATTTAAAGTCAATTAAGCAATGTTATTGACGTCGTTACATGGTAACACCAATCATGTTTCTTAATTCACTTTCAATTGAGTCAGTCTGTTTGGGACCTAAATCAAATTATTCGACACACCAAATAGATAATTATGTTTACGTAAATATTCATATTCATTTATTGTTGTGCTTAGTTTAACTTCATCACCAATAGAAATTCTTTTGGAAGTGAACAATAAAATCGGGAGATAACATTAATGATTTACTATTTAATCACTAACAATTGCATTTTAAGTAGCCGAGTTGACTTGGTGAGTCTTGAAATCAACTCGCACTCGTCACGGTGCGGAAAATCCTGCCTCGTCTTGCTTCGTGGCGAGGCGGGGAAACTCAATGAGTCTGAGATCTCTGGCCTATAGCTCTTTATTCACACAGGGTATGCATGATAGCATAGTTCCTTTCAGTAGAGGGTTAGCGACGTTTGCGTCGCGTTACTTGTAATAAACAGAAAATATACCACTGTTTTTTTTCCTCATATTATATGTTGCCTTGCTCGAGAGCAAGAACTATGTTGACCTGTGCTTTCTTTTTTTTCTCTCTTGTCGTCAATCATAATAATTTACTGTCACCCTCTTTGCTATTCTCTCTATTCTTTGACTTGTTCTTAAATACGCGTTTGATTATAATCGATTACAATCAGATCTAGGTTGACACTGTTCGTCCTTTCATTAAATTGTATTATTCATTCTCTTTTAAGTTCTCTTCACATCTCAAACTATGTGAGGACTATAGAAATATTTTTATGTTTCTTTTTCTCTTCTTGCCTCTATAAATATCATCACTTTACCTGTAAACGCATTTTATTCCACACGACAAAGAACATTAACAAGAATAAATACAAAATATTTCATATTATGTTACCAAATGCATGACACATACATTACTTGTCCATTTCCAATTCTTTTTTCAGAAAAATATTTTCTTTATATAACAATAATTCTGATCATCAAATCATGGGTAACGTAGCATACCATACGAAAACACCAAGAACACGTCTTGAGAAAGGTTTATTATTTTATTCATTCTATGCGAGTAATGTAACAAATAATTTCTTATTAGAAATCGCCGTACTCAAAGCTACTACTAAACTTAGTGAAAAGCGTAAGTAATAGTGAGATACGATTATCATACGAATTTTTTGTTTTTATGTAATTTTAGAAATACGAGAAATGTATGAAGTAAGCAGTAAAACATCTTCGAAAGACTTACCGGAGAAAACTTTATTTTAATCTTTCTAGGAATTCAATCAAGAGGCTGAATCAGGCACAGGCAGGATGAACAAACGTCAATTTGGTAAGTTTTACAAGCATGTTACAGGATTCGAAGACGAGAATGGTAGTTTAGCTGAGTATGTCAATGCATCTTTTTATATTTCATCGTAATCATTTATATCTTTTCAGTAAGGCATTTGCTGTATTTGACACTAATCATAATGGATCAATTGATTTTAGTGAATTTGTATTAGCTTCCACGGTCGGCTATAAGATTGATCTGGATAGTCAGCTCGAACTTGCGTTCTCACTGTAAGTCTCCTTGCAAAGAGTAAAGAGTCGCTCGATTTGAAGATTATTACCAAAGTTCTGAATGTGTATTTCTTCGAGTTTCGTTGTTTCGTTTTTAGAATAGATTTATCAGGTGACGAATACATTAGTTATGACGAAATGGTGAACTTCGTAGAAAAAGCAGTAAGACTTTTCTTTTCTTTTTCTTGTTCTAATGCTGGATGAAACGTTGATGTGTTTTTTTCAAGTGGCAATTAACAGCCGGTAGCGAAATAATAAATGTTGACTCAAAAATAGTTGCTACAGATATCTACGGCATGTTTCATCTCGATCAAGGACACAAACTGAGCAAGAAACAATTTATGGACGGGTATTGATGAATATTTGTCTTTGCTTCTTATTAATGATCTTCTTTCAGGTGTAAAAGTAACAAGGATCTTGCCAAGATGTTTGGAATCTCATGAATTTATTCTACGATGTAACAATAAAAACTTTTTTTGCTCTCTAATATTTACACATTAGTAATATGCATAGGTTATCAGAATCTTTTACTTTTCTCTTTTACAATAAATAATTCTCAATATTGTATTTGATCTTTGTGTCGATGCGAGCTATTGACTCTATTTAAAACAGATGAATCTCAACAGATTCTATTTATTTGTCAAAAAAAATGTAGAGCAAACAATGATTCATGATTACCATTCAAAAACTTGACTTCTCAGGTTTGGGCGTGTGTGATGTTGATGCAGTGCCGTGACGGATATGGATATAGGTGTGAATTCACCTAAACTCACTCATATCCTAACAAATAATACAACACATTATCTTGATATACGCTGAATTTATCATCAACATCGATCATTACACGAAATTGTAGTGAATATCATATGTTTCAACTTAGTATTATAACAATCAATCTATCATCTTTTCCAATATATTTTCGACATTCACTATTACTGTCCAATTGAAATGATGCATGAAAATCGATAGAAAAATGAAATCATTCATTCTCTATTAGGCGATATTAAACTGATTTATGTAAACATATTTCAAATCCAAAATGTCAAAAAATCAATGGTATTCGAAGTCGATATTATCGCAGAGATGGGCAAGTCAGCTATTTTTTCACTCAAGTCAAGTCAAGTCAAGTCATTGCTCAAAAAAAAATATCATTAAGTCAAGTCATCAATTTGAGATACGCCATTGCAAGTCAAGTCAAGTCAAATCTGTGTTCTAACCAAGTCAAGTCAAGTCAAGTCTCAAGTCATTGACTTGAATTTTTTTTTAAATTTCATAATTTAGTTATGTATTAATTTATTGAAAAAAACATTAAATCAATTCAGTTGTAATACAAGTTGTAATTGATCTAACCAGTTTAACACAATAGATCACGTATGATGCACACTCAGCCGTATAATTGCTTATATACTTGCGAGTGTCGATGTCAGATAGTTTCTTTTGTGAGATCAAACAGACTAGACGAATAAACAATGAATTGAGAATTCATTGTTTATTCGTCTAGTCTGTTTAGGACCTTATTTTATACGCACAGGTCAAATATAACCTGACGAGAATCTAATATGCATTGAAGTTGCAAAGAATATCTGACTTGACTTGTATTTTTTTGTCAAGTCACAAGTCAAGTCAAGTCAAAAAATGAAAAATCAAAGTCAAGTCACGTCAAGTCGCAAGTCATTAATAAAACCTTCAAGTCAAGTCATAGTCAAGTCGCAAGTCATTAAAATATTTTTCAAGTCAAGTCAAGCAAGTCAAAAATGACTTGACTTGACTTTGACTTAAGTCATTTTTGACTTGACTTGCCCATCTCTGGTCGATATAGACAACAAACGAATTATTATTGCGGATTGAAAGTAGACGACAACCATACATTCACCATTTGCTGCTTACGGTCTACTTTTGATCTTTGAAAAAATGATTTATTTTGTATCTATAATCGAGTCTTACAGAAACAATTTGATTGTGAAAATAATGTCGACAATTCAAAGTTGGTTCATTTCTTTTCAGTGTTGGACATGGTTAGCATTGTCTTCGTTTTGATTATTAAAATCAATGATTTCATTGCTTGCTATGCCAAGGGTTTATTCAGTGTCAAAGAAACTGTCTTTGACATCTGTTAAACACTAATGAAAAGATTGTATCTGATCATTTTTATTTCGGAAGTTACTTTTCACACACGTTCAGTCCTTCTTTATTAGAGAGAAATCCCAACCGGGAAAAAAAAGAAAAGTTAAAAAGCTCAAACAACAGATGTTTCTCATGTTATATTATCAATTAATTACTGGTAAATGATTCTATACTTAGTTGAGGGATGTCATAATATCCGGAACTCGGGTATCGACATTTTAAAACATCCACATACTCTGAAAAAGTTAAGGATTTTGAGTGCTTTTGGTGTAATGAGGTGGATACCCAAAATTTTTAGTGCATACCCCTAAAACTTGAGAATTTTGAGTGCTTTTGGTGTAACGAGATGGATACCCAAAACTTTTAGTGTATACCCCTAAAACTTGAGAATTTTGAGTGCTTTTGGTGTAACGATGGATATCCAAAATTTTTTGTGCATATCCCTAAAACTTGAGGAATTTGAATGAATTTGGTCTAATGAGATGGATACCCAAAATTCTTATTGCATGCCCCTATAACTTGAGAATTTTGAGTGCCTTTGGTATAACGAGATGGATACCCAAAATTTCTAGTGCATATCCCTAAAACTTGAGGAATTTGAATGAATTTGGTGTAATGAGATGCATACCCAAAATTGTTATTGCATGCCCCTATAACTTGAGAATTTTGAGTGCTTTTGGTGTAACGATGGATATCCAAAATTTTTAGTGCATATCCCTAAAACTTGAGGAATTTGAATGAATTTGGTGTAATGAGATGGATACCAACAATTGTTATTGCATGCCCCTATAACTTGAGAATTTTGAGTGCTTTTGGTGTAACGAGACGGATACCCAAAATTTCTAGTGCATATCCCTAAAACTTGAGGAATTTGAGTGCTGTTGGTGTAATGAGATGGATACCCACAATTGTTAGTGTATACCCCTAAAAGTTGAGGATTTTGAGTGCTTTTGGTGTAACGAGATGGATATCCAAGATTTTTAGTGCATATCCCTAAAACTTGAGAATTTTGACTGCTTTTGGTGTAACGAGATGGATACCCAAAATTTCTAGTGCATATCCCTAAAACTTGAGGAATTTGAGTGCTGTTGGTGTAATGAGATGGATACCCACAATTGTTAGTGTATACCCCTAAAAGTTGAGGATTTTGAGTGCTTTTGGTGTAACGAGATGGATATCCAAGATTTTTAGTGCATATCCCTAAAACTTGAGAATTTTGAGTGCTTTTGGTGTAACGAGATGGATACCCAAAATTTTTAGTGTATACCCTATAACTTGAGAATTTTGAGTGCTTTTGGGGTAATGAGATGGATATGCAAAATTGTTATTGCATACTGTTACAGTCACATGTATCACTCCTTGACTCATCGGTATTTGTTTATTCATTTCGCATTCTTTGATGCTTTATTTCTCTCTATATATCTCTCCCTATACTTGGTGAAGGGGAGACAATCTGGAAATAAACGAACATCGAGAAGATACAGGGAAACCTCTAATATTTGGTGCCGTGACCGACTTTCTTTATTTCACAAAAAGAAAGTGAACCATTCTACTCATCCGTTTGTATCGGTTTTGGTGTTCTTGAATTCAAGGTATAGCAAACATTAACTACCCACAAGCAAAATGTGGCAACTTACTAATCAATCGGATCCGGTGTGTTTTGACTGCATATATATGTATCATTATAAAGTTAAACCATGTTCGCATACAATTTGTAACAAGTGCTTATATGAAGCAATTACAGAGAAAATCCGGTTGCAACACGACGCAATCATTTGTCCTAGATGTTTGGATTCAACAAACCGTCAAAATGTCCCCCGAACGCCTCCTGAACAAACTCAAATTCATAATCAACACAAAACTGCATCTATTAGTCGAAAACAGCTTTCACCTCTTTCATTGATTTTACAGTATGATTGTAGTGCTAGTGATATCGCTTCACGAATTGATGAATCTCTGAAAACTATCACAGATTTAAACGAACGACAACGAGTGCAAAAAGTTTTATGGAAAAACTGGTTTCTGTTCATTCAACCAGTCGAAACAAAAAAAGTTGACAAATTGCTTCGACGACAACGCAGTCAATATGAATATCATCACTGTCACAAAGGTGCCTACATTAAATCCAAAGAAATTTTTTCCGATACTGAACAGCTACAAGACACTGTTGTAATCACAGCTGAAGCTGAATCGAACTCACTGTGGCCTGACGGAACCGAATCATGGCATATACATGAAATAAAATCGCAACGAGAATTGTTCATCGAACAAGCTCCTCAAGAAAATCTATCAATTCAACAGAAAAATATCGAAGCTGGATCTGATGTATTTTGGCCCGTAGGCACTGAATCGTGGCATATTCACGATATAAAACCACAACGATCAATATTTACCGAGAAATTTAGTTCTGAACACTCTTACGTTCCAAATCCAATTGAACTTGAGAACAAAAGCTCCGATCTCAAGCAATTGCTTGAATACGAACAACGCTTTTTCTGTGATCGACAATCACAATACGCTATTCTACCTGAAAATCAACACTCACTGCTAGAACCGGCATTCAAACCGAATCGTTGCTGTGAATCGAAATTTCAAATTCAAGAACAGATTCTATTGTTTTCACCTCTTCATAAGCCATGCACACGATCTAATTATTGCGTTCGTGGTCGATCAACCAATTTCAATTTTTTACAATCACTTCTATCAAATAATCTGTCGAGTCCGACGAAAAAGCGGCCGAGCCTATTTTCAAATAGAAAATCGAGTTCTCACAGTAATAAAATACGTTTCACTGTATTAACACAATTTCTGCAACTTATGATCGAATATTTCGTTTATCTTGTAATTTTTTTATTATCGATACTCATCCAGACGGGATTC